GGGGCTGCTTTTAAAGGCTGCACTGTGATTGGTCAGCGGTAATTGGGGGAGTTATTAATTAGTGGGGTAGCCGGAGGGTGAGAGGGCGGGAAGGAAAAAGCCGAGTTGAAGGGCTGCCCGGGGTGGGTCAGCGGTGTCTGAAGAAAATCCTGCTGGATTGGGAAGAATGAGGTAAAATCAGACAAGAGTTGGAAGACTTAAAGTCAAAAAATCGCCCTAGATTTGCAAGAATGATGTACAATGAAATAATTATAGATTTGCAAGAATAATACATAAAATCTTTCTAGAATGGCAAGAACGGTAAGAAAATCATCCTAGGATTGCGAGAATAAGAGAAAATCATTCTAGATTTGAAAGATTACGATACTAAAATCATTCTAGAATTGAAAGAATAAGAATTTCATTCTAGTGTGTCGAGAATAAGAGAAATTGGTTCTAAATGGCAAGAATAAGAGAAATTCATTCTAGAATTGCAAGAATATATTCATTGCAGATTTACAAGAGTAATATAGAAGAGGAAAGTAATTGTAGAATTGCAAGAGTGAGGCAGTAAACTTCACTCGGCTCTATATCCTGCTGCTCCCCTTTGTGCTCACCAAAATGGTGCTGTTTTCCTCCAAAAAGCTTCCCAAACCCCACAGCCATCTCCGAGCTGAGCTTGGGGATGGTGACACCTGCCACAAGGCCCTGGACCCGGCCCAGCTCTGGAGCCAGCAGCAGCTGGCAGCAATTCCTGACCGTCCCCAGGAGTGTCCCTGTGTCACCAACACCGTGCCTGCGTTTTGCTACGTTTACAATGACACTTTCACAGCCTGACCTTCCCTGACCACGGCTCAGCTTTGCGTAACTTGGTGAATTTCTTCTCCTCACCCGGGCACACATTATTTTTAAGCAAAGCATTAAAAAAGGGCACTCCTTAGAGAGGCCGAGTGCTGCAACAAAGTCAGTTTGATCCCATCGGGTCACGTTGCACAGAGAGAGCTTGTTCGTTGGTATTGCAGGACGCTTGAGAAAAGGCAGTTGGCTGGAAGGGATCCCCAAGAGAACCTGGGGATCTTGTAGACCCCTGTGCTCGGCTGCGTGAGACTTCTCTTTTCTTCATCTTTTGTTGGCAGGTGAGGAACCAGGGAGTTTGTCTGACCTCTGTGGAGACTTGAGATCGCAGCACCCTGGGGACATTTCTGGAAGGTGCTCTGGTAGTGACACAGCCACAGAACAGGGCTGCAGCAGCCACTGCCCTCCTCGCTGCTGGCAGCTGCTGCAGGTTCAGAGGATTAAGGGAAACCCAGTGAGCTTTGGGGATGACATTCACTTCAGAGGTAACAGCACCGCAGTGTACACACATGGGATTTAAAAAAACAGCAGTACATGCAGAGCTGACAGCAAAATATTCCTGTATAGAAAGCCCTTCCCCACAGTCCAGTCCCTATTTTCATGCCAAGAAAGGTCACATCCTCTTCACCTTGGCCTCTGATCCCAGCTGATCCCTTCTCCCAGCACAGTAGGCTCCCATCCACGCAGACACCCACACACCTGCATCTGAAATTCCTGAGGCGTCCCACAGGAGCCCAAATCTCTCTGTCCACTCCACTTCCCTCCTCTTCATCATGCACTCCACCTCAGAAGTGTTTTTCCAAATGAGCAATCGTTGGGCTGCTGCAATCAGGGCAAGATCTCCTCCCCCTTTATGACAGCATTAGCCCACGACTGTTTAAAACCTCCCCGGGTCGTCTCTGCAGTGCTTTCCCAAGAGCAGTGTTGAGGCACACAGGCACCCTTGGCTTCCTCCTTCACAGATTATCTGTATTTGAAGAGGAACATACAAGGAATGACTCATCCAAATCTGCCTGTAGTTACTGAAAAGTTACTGCTTTACAAATGCTGTATGAAAAGAACACAGCCAAGTTATTTTGACATTCACAGAAAGCTTTAATCACCATATTTCTAAGATAAAGGTTTCTCTTTCTCAGGAAAATGCATCTCCTGGTCTTGTCAGAGCAAAGCCCTTCAGTAGGCGTGCTCCAGTATTTATTTTGGCTGTGAATGTCTCAGATTAGTAAGGAGTTTGAAAGTGATTTTTTTAGAGGTGGATGAAGGTTGTGTTCACGCAGGAGGCATTAAGCGATACCTGCAATGCCTTCTCCCACAGCCCCCTGCCGCCTTTCAGGCTGCTCCTCTCGCCGTACGTCGCATTTAGCTGTCACTGGAAGCCCAGTCTGGACCCGTTCTGCACTTGGCAACTGCAGATGTCATTTTTCCCACTGAATCTGCATTTCAGTGTCACAGCAGTGTACACACTGCATCTCTCTGGGTCACGGATAAGGAATCGCCCCATGGCAGTCAGTACCGCTTCAACGATAACCGTGCAACGCGTTCCCTCCACGCCATCACGTGCTCCAGGGCATGGGACGCCCAAAAACTTCTCCAGGGGCTTTTGCCAGAGGCTGTTTCATACACTGGCCATGGAGCAGCTGACAAGACACGAAGTGAGGGGTATGCGAATGCTTTCAATTATTTCGGGATCTTCCCCAGGAAAAAGGCCAGGAGCCAATCCCTAGAAACACACTGGATGAAAAACTCTAATATTAGAGAAAACACAGTTCACACGTACATAGAAGGGTTTCAAAATTTAATTAAGTTGACATAGGGAACAATTCAAGAATCTTTAAAACGTGAGAGTTAAGAAACAAAGTTTAGGTCATGTATTTAGAAAAAGACATTCCTTGTATCACAAAGAGATCGAACAGAAAACATTTGCTCTGGTAAAAAACGAGCAGTGCTGGTCCCTGCTTGAAGTGAGAAAGCTGTAACAGAACTTTTTAAGAAGCACCTGTTTTGACCAGTTTTGAACGGCTGACACCGTCATTTTGTCTCATAGCAGCACACCAAGCTGCCCTACAGTGAACGGGTCAGGGAGAGCCCAGTGCAGTGACAAAGCCAGCGCAGTCTCTTCGGCAGGCAGAGCTCAGAGCCTGACACGCGAGCAAGCAAAGCAGTTTGAGATACCCTCACCTTCCTTCTCCTGGCAAGAGGAAACCACTTACGAAACAAAGAAAACCGTCACGATACTCCAAACAAAGTCACAGTAATAGGAAAAAGAGAGCAAAATACATTCTAAGGGAGATTCATTCAAGCTAAGCATCGCTTTTTATTCCAACCAGGAAGAGATTCGAGGGGTGGAGGAGCAGAGTCAGGCCATGGGGTCGGGCCGACAGTGACCCCTCACCGCAAGACAGACATTTGCTAAGGCAGCAAATGCCCGGGCACCAAACAGAATACGAATTCAGGCTCCTCCGCCACCAGACAGAACTTCAGGCAAAGCTTTTGTGCTCCATAAGTCACCCGTTACTCTGCAGGTACTGGTCCAGGAACTGTGAGTAGCAGTCCAGGGAGCAGAAGTAGCAGATGACGGGCGCTTCCGTACCTCCCATGTTATCCACCAGCACCACGGTGTGAGCTACGTGATGGAGGTTCATGGTCACTGTGATCTGAATGAAGCTGCTCAGGCAGGCGCCTCCGCACTGGCACGTTTTAGCCACTTCCAGATCTTCACAGAGGTGAGAAGGAAGGAGATGACAACCATAAGGGATTCTGTTGAACAAGAGGAGTGAGTGTGAATTCACTACAAAATTAACCAATGGCACTCAAATGCAGTGACAGGCCACATGCACTGGTTGGAAATAAAAACCTTTCTGAGATCAGAGACAAGGCAGATTTGAAATTTTGCCATTTATTAATTATTATTGCCAGAATTAAATGCTGCTTTCCAGATGGTCACTGAAAACATACAACCATGTTACTGACCCCTAAGCACCAAGGACCTGAACTACAGGAGACACTGGAACCAGGAAACTCACACCAATCGTATCACAGCCACAGGGAACGAGAGAATTAAAGAGAAGATTAATAATAATAAAACTGCTCTTCCCTCACTGTACTGCATCCTGGCCTGACACACACCCACAATTCACTCCTCGCTCTCTACTGTCAAGAAGTGGTAGCAGCCTAAAACCACTGTATCCAGAGGAACCAGGAGATAAAGCGAGCCTTTTTACAGCAGTGCTACATTGCAGGCGACAAACTGAGGTTCTCTTGATATACTGCTCTTTTCAGCCGTCATGTCAATAATGACATCCAGTGACAGGAACAAGAATTGCTCCTTTTTAAATTTGCAGCAGAGCAGCACTGCGCTTGGGGTACAAAATAACTGATTCCTCCGAAGCACTTTGTGGAGTTCACGTCGAAGCGTGGCTCTGGCGGGGCCCAGCTGTCACTCACAGAAGAGATCTCGCTGACTCACATCCCGACTACACCTACGCTTCCCCATTCTTGCTGTGCACCATCATTCACACAGCTGAGACTCCTGTGGGCTTTTTCTTTCACCACCTCTATTTCAGGACATATTTTTTTCCGGCCCGAACAAGCACAGTCACAGCTCTGGTACTTGCACAGAAAGCTGCTACGAAGCCTGATTTCCAAATGTTTGCTTTTGCATCTTCCCTCCCTTCCGTTTTCTTCCTTCCTTCCTCAAGGTTTTTACAGCCCGTCATCACTCCTGTTTCCCATTCTTTGTTAATTCTCACCTCCAGTGAACGTCAGACAGAGCGTCTGTTGCCCACTTGTTAGACTTTTTATATTTTAATTTCTGTTTAAGGTAATCAGGACCACTCTGACCACTGCTGCCTCCTTGTAATCACAGTACCATGGGCCAAGGGCCTGTTTCCATTGCCTCTTGTCTCACTCCTGGAGCAGGCGGCCTTTTTTCTATTCAGTGCGGTGCCATTTTCTGAAAAACCAGATTAATGCCTAGGTCTCCTTAGGTACTCTGTTAAGGTAACCAAACACCAAAATTCTGACCAGTGCTGAGGGGTTATATTCTCTAGGAAAAAAACCCGAAATCTTAATATTTCTGTCAAAACCACTGCAGTTTATGTAAGGTTGGGAAAGGAGACACGTGCAGTTTAATTACTCAAATAAAGCCAGTAAGGTCAGGAGTGGATAAGAGCTCAACCAGAACCTGTGGTCGCTCAGCTCATTTCCAGGGCACGCCCTGCATGCCTGTGGCCACCTCTAGCGCAGACGCCTGAGCAATTCACCCGGGTTTATGGGGCCCTCCCCACCCCCAAGGCAGGAACGGGTGAAGATCACAGATTGGGAACACTTCACGTCTCTCTCTCACCCCATTTCTGTACCCGTGGCTGGCTTCTACCTCCCTGTTCCCTTCCCACCCAGAACAGGGTGGGAGCAGCAGCAGCTGGGACAGGGAGGATCACAGGCAGCAACAGGCAGGGCTATGGCAGTGGTGTGGGGGAAGAACACTGATAACAGCAGCCAGCAAGGCTGATGTTTACTTGCAGCAATAATAATTTTAAAATTACCTCAGAACACAGCTTCTCTGCATAAGACAGAATATCCTCACTCCAACACCAAGGGAAATTACCAGCTCAAGGGAAACCTAAGGCAGGGAGAAGCCTCCAGGAGGTAATGCCAGCTCCAGCCACCTCGCTGTATTTTCTAACGTTACTGAGCTGTGTAAGGTGCCACCTCGACCAGAGGCAGATGGATTCGTGCCTGTAATGAGGGGCGGTGTGGTGGAAGGTAACCTTTTGCCAACACACTATCCTTGTACGGGCAGGGATAGCGACAAGCTAGTGGATGTTACTCACAGTTTTAATGTACTTTAACATGGGAAACCACATTTGAAAGCAATTTCCAAGCTAGAGCCCAACTCAAAATACGATCAGTGCCATAAAATCTGCCGTTATGTGAGCTCCTCAACACAAAATGCCTGAAGCAGTTCAGGGCTGTAAAACTGATTCTTTTTTCCCCAGCGCTGGGCAAGAATGTTCTGTTATGGTGTCCCCTGTTTGTGGATAAAAACATTTCCACCTACTGCTCTAAATGCTTCCTATTTACTGTGTTATCCTGTAAAACGAAGAGATGATTTTACAAGTGGAACTCAAAGCAATTTTACCCTTTCTGATTTTTAACAGGTGAAGAGCAATAGTCACAGGAAAAGTCAGAAAAGTTTAGGCTCGACAAGTTTGAAACAGAGCAGGTGCAATGTGTACCCATGGTGCTACTCTTACCTGTAGTTTACGGTTGCTCTTGCAGCACACTCTAATAAAGTCAATGGTATTTTCAGTTGTATGTTGGGAACAAGCGGGTTAGGCTGCTCAAAAGGATTTCCAAAGAGATCCAAGTTCTCAAGACAGAGTTTCCGAAAATCACTGGGCAAGAAGGGAAGTTTGTTCCGAGCTGCCGACAGAAAGCGCAGATGATCCAACTGGCCAATCTTGAATGGCAACCTAATCAACTCGTTGTCATCCAGCTTTAAATTAACGAGTTCTCGCAGCTGGCAGAACTGAATTGGAAGTGCTTTGATTTTGTTCTGGCTGAGGTCCAGGAACTGAAGCGATTTCTGAAGGGTGGAGTTGCACAGAGCCCCGCTGAAGGACTCCAGGTGGTTGTCGTGCAGATTGAGCTCCTGAAGGCATACCAGGTCACCAATAGTGGCTGGCAACTGCTTGATGTGGTTATGGCTCAGGTCGAGTTTTCGGAGTTTCTTCAAGCAAAGCACGCGCGTGTCAATCCGAGCAAGTTTGCAGTATGAGGTTTGGAGATGTTCGAGGGAGTAAGGGAAGTTTTTGGTGAGAGGATAGTCCCTTCGTGATGTTATGATCATTTTTGTCTTCGGTTTTTCCACTTCCGAGTTCTTTGCTGGTACCAGAGTTGAGAGAGGCAGAGCTCCTGCATCGGTCCCTTGGTGAGCCAGTCTCACAGCTGAAAGGAAATTCTTCAAATTGCTGGCATTTGCCTACAGGAAAACACAAACGGGGAATTAAAAGTTCATTATTCTCGTGCTCATCTAGACTCACACTTTCTGAACTATTTTGTATGTGTATCAGGAGATGCTAACTCAGCAGGGCAGTGAAATGGGAAAGGGAAACAGCTCTGGTGGACGTGCTGTTTACGGTATTTAATAACAAACGGCATGCAATGTGAATGAGAAGTTACGACCTCTCTGAATAATCTAGATCAAACAAACTGCAGCATTACTCAGAAAAGGAACAAAGCGCTGAATTTGCAGCTGAAAATAAAGTGCAGAAAAAAAACCTGATGTGCTGTGATCTTCCTAACCTGCAACACAATAAGGGACAGCTTATAAAAACACACAACGGAAATCAGAGATCGAAAACTTGAGACAGTCATTTCTGAAAGTTGCGAGGGAGGAAAAGGACGGAAGCTGAGGTTAAATTTAACGCAAAGGAAGGTGAAAAGCTTCAAGGCAGGGTAAGTGCGTGCTTCTGGTCACACACAGCTCTTTGGTTGTGCCAGCATCAGACAAGAGGGTAATTATTTGCAACTAATTTTGCTTTAGGTGGGATATATTATGACAGCCATAAAGACAGAAAGTCAAATCAATGGAGTATCAGATGACCTGGATTTTACATAAAGGTCAAGAAAGCTGTGATATATTTGTTGTACTGATACAATCACATTTTATGACTAACAGGGTGATGAAAAGTTTCTCTTCTAAATTTCCCAGCAGGTCTCTACTCAAGCTGACGTGCAACTGATAGACACAAAGCTATAAGGTAAATTAGAAAACAAAACCCACGATGCAGCCATACAAGTAAAATCTCTCAACTCCTGACATGATGCCCTCTAGCCACAGGAAACTTGCGTGCCAAAAAACTTCGTATCTAAGACCACCAACATTTGTTACCTCACCCAACACAACTAAAATATTCAGCTATGGGACTGCCCGTAACTACAGGTGGATTAACAAACAGGTAGTTTAATTTGGAAGTAAGGAGAAAAAGTCTTCCAGATCTGTAAAACTGAGTTACAGGCAATATTTCCTTGATCTCAAAGCATGAGATGCAACAGACACCTGCTCCTTGTGTAGCCAAAAGCTCTGGGTTGTTAGGAATAAGTTTATGGGCTGTTCACATGGCTCCAAAACAAGAATGCTTTGTGTTCTTCATCCTTGAGACAAATCTCCTCCACAATACCTTTGTAAAGGCCATGCAGTATCTGTAAACCTTGTTATTGAGAAACCTTGAGTGTGTTGAGAAGAATACTAAGACATTATCTAAGAAAAAAAGTGCAAAGTATTAGTTGGAAGCGCTCAGGACACAGTTTTGTGCCCCAAGTCTGAAGTCTCAACCACAGAAAAGATGTTAAAAGAGGTTAATCTGCATTGATGCCTTACAGGCCTCTTCTTTCAAAACTAAATGAATGATGACAAGAAAATTGGAGATTACTTGGATTTCAGACCTTGCGTGCAATGCAGCAGGCACAGGCTTGCTGAAGGGAAAAAAAACAAACCACAGAGACGTTATTATTTTTGCTCCAGGGCTGAATGCTCCAGACGGATGTTTCCCAACTTAATTTCTGATGTGGCTGAACACAGCAAACTGCAGCACCTGGCAGGGTACAAAAAGCGGGGTTTTGCATGGTAGCTGCAGCAATCGGTACAGTCATACCTGGCAACCTCTCTTATACACAACTTCTGTCCACCGCTGAGAGTTAAGAAGCCTTTCTGTAAAGAAATTATGAAAGACCAGCAGAAACACTACAGAAAAGTTGCCAATAATATTTTTTTTTTCTGGATTTGGAGCATTTAAGAAGAATATACAGTATCTCTGGCTTTGGAAGAATTTAGCAGATTTGTTCCTGGAGCTTTACAGTATGAGGGTGAGCCCTACACTAAAAACAAGGAGTGAGGATCCAGCCTCTTTGGAGCAGCTCTGGTCATTATTCTAACCCGTTTCATTAGATTTGGTTGAGAGTTTCTTTTCAGCCTGATAACATCAGGGACTATCTCCTCATACAGAAAAAAACAGATGACGTTCTTCACTAAATCACTACCCACACTGAATAAATGTCTGTCACGCAGTTTCCTCACAGGCCCTACAAGTGGTCTAAATCAGATCTTGTAGCACTAAGACACAGATCAGCTCTCTAATTTTATACTACTAGAAGATCCTCTTACAACAGGCCTGCTTTCGTATCTCTGTTCCTAGATAAAACTCTTTCATTTCTCACACTTCACCAGAGAAGTTGTTCAGAGTAAATGATGCAGAACAAGAAGCTACTCTGGATCTGACACAACATGCCTGAGTTTTATTTTTTTGCGAGATACATAGCACATTTGCTTTTGACAAGAAAAACTTAATTGGATTTGGACATGCACTGCTTCCTTTCTATTTAATCCTGTGAGGTGAACTGCTCTCTTCATCAAATTAAGGCTGCTTTTCTTACCACCTTACCTTTCCTTACCTTTGCTCTTGCACAGACAAGGTATTTCCAGATCACTGTGCCACGTTCTGCAAAATATTGGGCTACCACGACTATATTAAGGCTTATATTAAGTTATTTGTGTTATTCCCAATAAAATAAATGCTTTTTCTTTCTTGCTGGGTCATATTTGTTTTCTTTTCAGTAAAGTTTCGAACATGGCCACAGCACTGATTCCTCGACCCCCTGCACCCACCTTGCTGAGGCAGACGTCCACGGCCGGCTCCCGCAGGCGCACGGTGGCTTTGCCTTCCTCCACGAACCGGGTAAAGAACCGCTCGATGTTCTCCTGCACCTGCGGGATGATGGGACCGAGACGGGATGAGGGGGGACCGGAGTGGGATGAGGACCCGCGGAGCAACGAGGGGGACCGGAGCGGGATGAGAGGGGACCCGGAGAGGGACGGGGGGGACGACTTTCAGGCGCGATGAGGGAGTACCCGCGGCGGCATGTGGGGCCCCAACCCC